GGAAAGTAGCTAATTTTGGAAAATCCTCTACTTTAGCCTTAAGTCTTATCCTTAAGAGATCCCCACAGTCAGTAATCAACCCTAGTAGAACCTGGTCTCGAGCGCAGTTTTTTATTGTGCCAAGTCCTGGGGTAGATGATCAGTCTGAAGGGGAAGTAACGTCAGTAATTTTAATATTGCGATGAAGTGATAGCCTCTAATAATAATCTAGGGATATAGCCTCACAATCATTGTAAGGAGGATCACATTCTAAATATGGCGATCATGGCTGAAGTGGCAGAAAGCTCACACCTGGCCTCACTCCTCTCGTCTTATCCAGAGATCCTCGGATCGGGGAATTCAGACCTGGCTCATCCACTTCAGTGGCAATAAAGCTAGACAAGCAGAGGCAGGGAGACATCTCTTCCTCAGAGAATGAGGTGTGGGGGGGGGGGGCCGAGGGGAGGGAGCGAGGCCGGGCCGGGGGCGCCCTCGCCGCTTTGGCACACGAACTCGTGCTTCTTTTTTTTTTTTTTTTTTTTTTTTTTTTTAAATATATTTTATTGATTTTTTACAGAGAGGAAGGGAGAGAGATAGATAGCCAGAAACATCAATGGGAGAGAAACATCGATCAGCTGCCTCCTGCACATCTCCCACTGGGGATGTGCCCGCAACCCAGGCACATGCCCCTGACCGGAATCGAACCTGGGACCCTTCAGTCCATAGGCCAACGCTCTATCCACTGAGCCAAACCGGTTTCGGCAACTCGTGCTTCTTCCAGTCCTGGCGCTGGCGCTCCGAGCTGCGGCAGAAGGCGCTGCGGCAGCGCGGGCAGCGCAACAGGCTCCCCTCTTCCTGCACAGCTCGCAGCACTGCCGGTCTCGCTCGCTCTGGCTCAGCTGCCTGGCCCGCCGCTGTCATTGGCCATGGCGGCGGCGGCCGGGCGGAGCGGCGCCCCTCGCCTCAGGCAGGCCGGCTCCCCGCCCTCGGCCCCCTGACCAACTGGAAGGACACCCCTCCACAGGCCCTGGCTACCTTCTTGCTGGCAGCACGGAGCAATGAAGCTGCCAATCACGCCGCCTTGGAACAAGCGTCCCTGAGCCTGCATTCGAATCTTCTAAAGGCTCTACAGATCATCTCGCCAAGCTTTGAGAAATGCCCATTTCAATGGTGCCATTTGATGCCTGTCTTAGCAAAGCAGGAGCAATTCCTGAATCCAAAGCCAACAGGCCTTCTTCTTTATAGATTCGGAACCAGGCATGAAACATTCCTTGGTCTCTTATCTCTTTGAAGGGGGCATCCATGCCTTTGGGTTAGGTGCACGGGGAAAGTTCCAACTTCCGCAACAAGAGAGGCAAGGCCGCCACATACCGAGGGTTTCCAATGCAGACCACACATCTCCTGGCTTCCAGGGTCACCCTTCTGGTGCTGCTCGGGTTCATCACATGACTGCGAAGCTGGGCTCCCACAGTCGGAAATGCCACTGCAGCGCCCTATATACTTTTTTTTTCAAATGTTCAACCTCCTTTTATTGAAATACCGGTTTGTTTAGTATATTTACACCACACTTTATGAACACCTACACATAGTAGGTAAATTTTGTCAAATAAAAACGTTTTTGAGAAACAGCAATCAGACTATCACTCCCCAGAGGGAAAGTAGGGGAGGGAGGGGGTAAGGGAAAGAGATCAACCAAAGGACTTGTATGCATGCATATAAGCCAAATCAATGGAGGTGGACAACAGGGGGATGAGAACATGAGTGGGGGGGGGGGGATAAGGACACATTTGCAATACCGGCTTAACCAATAAAGAATTTAAAAATAAAATAAAATAAAAACGTTTTTCATTAATACAAAGTTTACATAAAAACGAAGTACAGTGCATGAAACTGATGTTTTCTTCTTCTGGTAAATCATCATCATTGTCAACATGTGGGTCCATTGGGGGAAGTGGTGAGAAATTCGCAGCCAGCCCCCACATATGACCTTCAGACCAAAATGACCTGGTGCCATTCGCAGCCCTGGGGCCAAGGCCTTTTGTCTGGGGCTGCTGGGGCTGCCCAGCGGACTTTTTCTCAGAAGCAGTTTAACTCTCAGTTCCCTTTGTGGCCCAGGGGTGCTGCCCAGCCCCGCAGAAGGGATTCCCCATCGCCCTTCCCACTGCCCCAACCCTTGCAGGAGGGCTTTCAGGGCGGCAGGCTACCGTTAGCCACGCTTTTGATTTCACCCACGCAAACCCTACCTTCACACCTGCTTAGCAGGGACAGTGCCTTCCCAGTTCTGAAGTCCCGGTTTTGAGAGGAAAAAGGCGCTGGTTTTCTGAGGTTGCCACACGGAGGGCTGCCCCCTTCAATGGTGCTTGCTGTTTATTGGAGGCAGTTTCTACCGGAATGATTTGCTCTTGAGAGAGCAAGCCTGGCAGTGGGGGCTCACAGGGCAGCCTGAGCTAAGAAATGGGTAGATCAGGACAATCCTTTCTATAAATGACTGAGCTTTCTGGCCAGGCCCGAAATAGTCACTTTTTAAACTATTTACTTTCAGAGAGATGAGACGGGAGAATGGAAACAGCGATTTGTGAGCAGGAAACCTTGCTATACCAGAGACACCGATATATTCCCGTTCCCCAATCCCCTGGCTCCAGGAAAGCCCGTGGTGACAACCAATCACTACAAAGGGCAAGCTCTGAATTTTCTCTCAACAGTTGTTGTGGCCAAGAAGCCGGGTGGGGACAAGAGGCCTGGTGACCCCCCAGGCTGGTGAGTAGCGGGTGCTGGTACCCCTGAGCCCACTGCCCTCTCTGCCTCCCCCAGGGCCTTGGAGTTCCAGGGTAAAGCTCAGCTCTGAGCTCCACTCCCTTAGTGTGGAGCTCTCTGACCCTGAGCCATCTCTGTTGAAGCTTCTTGATAATTCATCCTGGTCTACTGAAACCAGGGAAACGCGTGAGTCCCTGTGTGTTGGAAGAGCCGGTGAGTAACAGTTTAGATGTTTTAGGAAATCCAGAGGGGAAGGGGGTTTCCTCCTGGGCCAACAAGGAACCAGGATCCTTTGTCTTTGGGGGAAATGGGTGAGCTTTTGGATAGTTTGGAACTGTAGTGCCTGCTTTGGGGAAACATTAACTTACCTAAGATAGTCCACCTAGGGCTGCCCTTAAAAAGCAAGGATACTGGATGGTCTGGGACAGTGGTCAGCAAACTCATTAGTCAACAGAGCCAACTATCAACAGTACAACGATTGAAATTTCTTTTGAGAGCCAAATTTTTTAAACTGTATAGGTAGGTACATTGTTATTAACTTAATTAGGGTACTCCTAAGCTGGCCTTTGCTAAAAATGTCCTCAATCTGATTGAGGTACTTTGCTGAGGTCGATCCCTTCCAACTCTCCCATCCGCACTAGTCTTGTGTGGGGAGCCAGGGAGCCGGCACAGTCATGGCATACTCAGCCCCAGGGCGCCTTATGTGCCATGCCAGCTCAGTCTGGTTCAGTGACCCTGAGTGGGGGGGTGAAAGGATTGAGAAAAGACAGACAAGAGAATGAAAGCTGGGTCTCGGTGGGACGCTGCTCCCTAATGAGGAGACAGCCACGCCCACAAGCCGTGTCTTTATTTTATAGCAGATGTCACAAGGCAAAGTAGGGGCGTGATCACGTTGTTTACAGCATTCTCGTGAGTTTCATCCCCACTCAACTACATGCACCTGAACTCTATCACAGGGCACATGGCGGCACGTGTTCGGACCATGGGTTCAAGCTTACAACCACAGCTGTTGGCTATGAATGTGCTGGGAGGGCCCTGCCCTTCCAGCTGGGGACTTGCACGTGGCATTGAGAGGACCCTGTCCTTTTCATTAGTGCCGAGGCTTGAACCTGGCCAAAACACGAAAGCTGCGCCGTATACTTTAATATACAAATACTGAGAGCAGGGGTCCTCTAACTACGGCTCACGGCCCACAGCCAAATACAAATATGGTATATTGTTCCCGTTTTGATTTTTTTATATCAAAACAAGACATGTGCAGTGTGCATAGAAATTTGTTCCGTAGATTCTTTTCTAGACTATAGTCCGGGCCCTCCCAAGGGCCTGGAGAGACAGAGAACATGGAGCCCTTGTATAGAAAAGTTTTGAGGACCCTTGGACTTAGAGTAAGGGAAATTACTTCTTTTCAGATGCAGAGTCTAAGCCAGTTAT